CAGTAATGATTTGTATCCAAACTGAATCTCCATCATTAGATCACTGGACACAGTCTAAATCTGACACTGTCACAACATTGGCAAGTCCTGAAATTCAGGCAGTGAATCTTGTGTCTCAACCCAGTGTGTCTGGGGTAGTTCCAACATGGATTCAATATGGAGATTCTCAAATATATACACGGTCAGATACATTGTTTGATACAGATTCCCTGTGGTCTGAGGCTCAATTTTTATCTGCTTATGCATGGGTGATGTCTGAATCTGCAACAGAATGGGTACCAGGTGAACCTTCATCAGTAACCACAGGGTCAGAGACAATAGATAGTGAAAAACAACTATGGTTCATAGATGGACTTCCAGGATTAAGCTCATTTACAGAACTTATAGCTGATAGTGTTATACCAATGATTCCTATTGAATCACCAGCCATAAACCTGCAGACCCAGCTTATATCTGATACAATCAAAACAGGTACTCAGGCTGTTTTTACAACAGGAAAACCATGGATAAATGATTTGGCTTCTACTGCAACAACATCACTGCAGGATGATTCTCCATTATTAAATCTATGGCCAGACCCTACATTTGCTATGATGACATGGCCACAGCTTCAGGCTCCATATTTGTCAGTAAATCAAGAGGTGCAGGCTGGATATGATATAGCTCTGTCATGGCAACAAGGAGAATCTCCTACAGTTGGCCTCTGGCTCCTGAAGATGCCTGATACAATCACAGAACCCTTGCCTGAGGCCAAAAGCATTCAGCCAGTAACATTGGCTGATACAACCCTACCTTTGTTTCTGGCTGGTTCTCTTCTACCTGTACATACGCAGACATTGTCAGCATCAAATAAAATCACACAATCATTGAAAGATTTAGAAGCTTCAGCAATGAATCTGTCAACATTACTACCTTCTGACATAGTTCTTCCACCATGGAACCTAGCTGAATATCCACCAAGAAGCCTGTGGACCTTGCCTTTTCTTAATGATATCCTATCAACATACTGGCCACAGATTGAATCATCTCCAGTCAATATCCAGATACAGACTATCTCTGATATCTTCCTAACTTCTTGGCTCCAGGCTAAATCAACAGCAGGAGATTTATGGTCAAGGTCTTGTTCTGATACAGTAGAACCACAGAGATGCCAGAATGAATATCCATCAATGATTTCTGTTGAGTCAACAGCAATAAGCCTGAGGTCCCAGACCATCTCTGGTGAAATCATATCAGATACTCAGCCTGTCCTTACAATAGAAAAACCACGGAGAGAGGATGTAGCTCCTACTGCAACACCAGGCCTGCAGGATGATTCTCCACTATTAAGTCAACAGCCAGACCCTATATTTGCTATGATGACATGGTTATGGCCTCAGACTCTGTATCTGCCAGTAAATCAAGAGATGCAGGATTGGTATGGTATATCCATACCTTGGCTCCAGGAAGAATACTCTACAGTCGAACGCTGGGTTCGAGAGGTGACTGATACAATCACAGAACACTTGCCTGAGGCAGGAAACAATTGGGCAGTAAAACTGGCTCATAAAATCACACCACATTGGTCTCAGGCGGGTATTCTTCCACCTGCTCATATGTGGACATTGTCAACATCAAATAAAATCACACAACCTTGGGCAGATTTAGAAGCTTCATTGATGGATCTGTCAACAATGTTAACTTCTAGTACAGCTCTTCCTCGATGGCCTCTAGCTGCGTATCCATCAGTAAATATGGGGACATTGCCTGTTTCTGATGAAACCTCACCACACTGGCCAAAGATGGAATCATCTCCAGTCAATATCTGGAAATCACCTATCTCTGATATGTCCATACTTCCTTGGCTCCAGGATAAATCACGAGCAGGAAGTTTATGGGCACAATCTTGTTCTCAAACAGTAGTGCCATGGAGACACCAGAGTGAATATCCAATAGTAAACCTTTGGAAATTACAGGCATATGATAATATAAGAGTTACATCTCCAACAGTGAATCAATTGTACTTACTTGGAACTTGTACAGAGGTAACATCATGGTCACCAGATAAAACTTCACCAAGAAATCAATGGCCCATTTTTTTGTCTGATACAATTATACCACCATGGTCCATGGACAAATCTCCAGATGTCCATCTCCTACCACAGCCTGTGTCTGAAACAATTGTCACACCATGGATGCATGATAAATACCCAATTTTTTATCCATGGATACTGGAGGCATCTGGTACAATCACAAACCCTTTGTACCATGCTGAATCTCATGCAGACACTGTATGGACACCACCGTTAATTGATACAGTCACAGAATCTAGTCCCAAGGTTGAATCTTCAGCAAGAAATCTATGGACACTGCTGTCATCTGATTCAGTTACAGTGACACAGACAAAGGTTAAATTTCCACCAGTAAATATGCAGTTTTTAGCTGATTCTTATTCTATAACAACTCCATGGCCCCAGGCTGAACCTCCACCAGTAAACCTTTCAACAATGACTTTATCTACTATAAGCAAACTACCTCAGATCCAGACTGAACCTCCAGCAGAAAGCATAAGGGCACTTCAGTTACCTGACCTGATTATATCACGATGGCTTCCTTCTGCATTTCCATCAGGACATAAATGGCCAGAGCCTCTTTTTGGTACAAACACAGCACTGTGGCCCCAGTCAGCAGGAATTCTATGGACAAAAACTTCACACAGGATCATATCATTGCATTCTCTGTTGGGATCCCCAGCAGCATATGAAAGGCCAGGCCTTGTATCTCATACAGTTGTACCACTTTGGCCTCAGGCTGAATCTCCAGGAGGAGGTCTTTGGCCAAATTCCATCTCCAGTGAAGTTGTACCTCTGTGGTCAGTGGCTACTATTAATCTCCTTCCTATGTGGTCACTGGAGGTATCTGATAAGATGACATCACTAAGGCCTTCCTCTAACAATGTTTTGGCACAGCTTTTGCCTGATACTAGCATACCACATTGGTTCCTAGCAGAATCTACAGAAGAAAATCTGTGGGTCACCTCTACGTCTAATATAATTACATCAGTGTGGCCCCAAGTTGATTCCTCTGTCACTAGTGTGAGGCTACTGCATGCATCTAAAATGTTTTTGTCACCATGGCTCCAGATTAAATCTGCCACAGAAAATTTAGGGCCAATTCCTCTGTTAGAGCCAAGCAAACTTTCATGGTCCCACTCTGAACTGCTGGTAGGAAATCTGTGTACATCACTAGTTTGTGATTCAAAAATATCACCAGGGTCTCCATCAGGATTTCTGACAAAATTTTGGCCAGAACATGTGTTTGGTCCAGTGATAAGCTTCTGGCCCCTGACAGCATCTCCAGCTAAGAATCGATGGGCACAGACTCTACCTACTGAAATTACTGAATCTGAAGTTCAAGCAGTGCATTCACAGGTGCATTCTGACACAGTCACACTATTACGATCACTGAGTCAGTCTCTACCAGTTAGAGGATGGGAACTGAAACACTCCAAAACAGTGTCCCCAAAATGGGACCAGAAAAAGTATAAAGAAGGACATCTGTGGCCCCAGTCTGTCTCTGATACAGTCATACCAATGTGGGCCCAGACTACAAGTTCACCAACAAACATACGGACTCCTCCCATATCCCAATCAATAGTATCACGTTGGTACAAGGCTGATGTTTTACCGTTAATTTCATGGCCCCTCACCATATTTGATCACATGACTTCACCATGGATACACACAAAATGTCAGCCAGCAACACCATGGGCCCCCTCTGAATCTTTAGCAGTTATCCCATTACATCATCATATTACAGCAACACCATGGGCCCCCTCTGAATCTTTAGCGGTTATCCCAAGAACACTGATCATATCTGATCTGATTATGCCACTGTGGGCCAAATTTAATCACCCAGCTTTAATCCCCAGAGCAGAGCCTATGGCTAGTAAACTCTCACCATTAAGGAAACTGACTGAGTTTCTAAGGGAAAAATCCGGGATCCAGGCTGATTCTGGTTTGCTCATACCTGGGGACCAGTTTCAATCAGTGAGTCCTTGGACACAGGTACTATTTGGTGCAGCCACATTGCAGAGGCAAGCCAGTTTACCTGCTGTGTATCTGTGGACAACGTATGAAAGTGACATCTATACAGATTGCACCACTACTCTATTCCCACAAGGAAGATACCCAACAAAAAATAAAGCAGTAAACACATGGGCAACATCTGAAGCTGATATGATAACTCAAATCCAAGATAAACCTCCAAAAGAGAATGTCTGGCTAGAGGTTAATTCTGAATCTGTGGTACCATGGAACCGGGGTGATGCTTTAGAAGTAAAGTTGGAGTCACAGCCAGAGGCTGATAAAGTTATACAGAAAGCAGTAATTCCTGAGATACAGGGTATATCTAAATCGGTCAAATGTTGGACACAGTATGAATACCCAACTATCAATAATTTGATAAAACCAGTAACTGATGTGGTGAGAGGAATAGTACAGACAATGCCTCCAGTAATATATCCAAGAAATCCCTGGAAAGCATTTCTATTTGATAAAATCACATCAAGGACAAAACCCAAAACTACATTCATCAGTACATGTAGACAAGGTCAAAAAGTAGCTGGAAACCTCAGGGTATTTCCTGAATGCCCAACAAGTCTCCAGGGACAGCCTGAAACTCTACCCTTAACTCCTTGGACACAGGCTAAGTCTGACAGTGTCATACTAAGAACCCTGGAGGAAGATCCATGGAGAGATTCTGTAACTGTAATCCACACATTGTATCCAAGGTACATACCTACAACCCTGGATTCTTTCTCACAAAAGGAAAATCTAGCAACATCAGGGTATAAACCTCAAGTTACACAGATGTGTCGCTGGAAGACAGCTAAAGCATCACAACTCATACCCATGACACAGGCTGAATCTTTTCCAGCAAGTTCTTGGGCAGAGACTAAAACATCCATAGTCAGAAAACAGGTTGAATGCCCAGAGGAATATCCCTGGAAAGAATCACAAGGTTCAACAGTGATATCCTGGCCCAAGGCTGAATCTCCAATAGAGGGTCTTGGGAAAGAAGCTTTAGCTTCAGAAGTAAAGCTGTGGAACCCCATTGAATTGCCAGCAGTCAACTGGATAGATCCTATAACACAGCTTATATATCACACAGGAAACACCTGGACAAAGTCTTCATCTAACCCTACTATATTACAGAATTGTTCTGAATCTTCAGCAATCATTTCCCGGATGTACACTGTGTCTGACACTTTTACAGCATTTACTAAAAATGAATTGACAATTTTATCTGATGAAATCACACTGTGGGCCCAAGCCATGTTTGCTTCAGACAAGCCTTGGAAGAAAGCCCAATATGGCATAGGAATGCCTGTGACTCAGGCTGCATCTATATCTAAAGTTTCCTCTATGCAACCTGTGTCTGATGCAGACATACCACAGAGCCCAACTGAGTTTCTGGCCAAAGTTGGGAGGATACACTCTATATCTGATACCTTGATACAATGGATGCATTTTGGATCTCCAGGAAGCAAGATTTGGACTGAAATTACAGCTTCCACAGTTACACAGTGGAGACAAGCTAAATTTCCTATTTTCAGGTTTTGGGAACCAACTGTTACTCCTACAACCACCATGTGGAAACCAAGTGCATCTCCAGCCATTAACTTTGGTTCAAGGGCTTCAGCTGCCACAGTCTCCCCTTTGACACACTATGCGTCTCCAGAAATCCAGCCTTTGTCAGGACATTTAGCTTCCACTCCTAGGAACTGGAAACAGACTGACTTTTTGCGTATGAATGTTTACACACAAACTGAAACTGATGTAGCCATATTTTCTGAAATGTCTGTAAAACCTTTGATTCCACTTGGTTCTAAAGTTAATGTATTCATTCTGTCTGAACAAACTCAAACTTACACAACCCAAGGCTTGAATGAGATGGAAAATCAAGATTATATTCTGAGGGCACATAAATTTGAAGATGCTAATGCAGGGACTTTGTCTAAAGTTGGAGCACTTGTATCTGAGGCTTTGCCTGCAAGTCAATCAGCTAGAGTCTGGCCTGAAATTGACCCTCATAATAGCAGAGGTTGGTTTGAAATTGAAACAGAAAATATCCAACCATGGGCTCAAACAGATTTTCAAAACTATATCTCATTTAGGACCAGACAAATAGAACTAGGGGTCCAACATACGCTTGCTTCATTCACCTCATTGACCCAATCAGAAGTTGGTATGTTTGATCTGTGGACATCTAAAGTAGACATAACAAGGTCCCAGACCACTGCAGGGATTGAGAATTTACTGAGACCACTGATCCAAACTGAATCTGAGTCAATCAATGCCTGGATCCAGCCAACGGATAATATAATCCGACCACATACCCAAACTGATTATGAAGCAACCAGGCTCTGTACTCAGGACACATCTGATAAAGTCACAATGTCATCCCAGGTTGAAATTCAGGAACCAAAGCGCTTGATCCTACCTGACAGTTATAATGTCAGAGTTTTGTTTCAGACTCAAAAGAATACAATACAAGAAGGCCAACTTGAAGAACAAATGGTTACTCTCTTCATGGAGGCAGAAGGGCAATCTCTTGAAAGTAATATGATTGAAACTCCTTCCCAAGATAAGTGTGATATAACCCAAGTTGAGGACTACTCTGGAACAAATTCAATCAAAGGTTTGACCTCTTCTGAAAGTGATGAAATACTACTTTTGACCCAGACAGAAGGCCAAGTGATGAAAACCTGGGCAGAGGATGATTTGGTCAGAAATTTAGCCTTCACTGAACATACGACAAATAGTCATTGGTCCCTCACTGAATCTCAAGTGACACATTCGTTGGCCGGGACTAAAGTTGTTCTAACCGATCCTTGGCTTCAGTACAAAGCTGGGATGATCAGCCATTTGGCCCAGTCTGAAGCATCAGAAAGTATTCACTTGACCCAGCCTGGAGCCGAAAGAGAATACTGGCTCCAGTCTCAAATAGATTCAGTCGGATCCTGGAACCAGCCTGAAAGTAAACCAATTCTAAGCTGGACCCCAACTGGAAAAGAAATAATAAAAGGGTCGAACTGGGAGGAGGTTGAGGTTGAGGGAGTGACACCTTGGCTTCAGACTCAAGACAGTTCTACAGTTCGGATTCAGCCTGACTCCAAAACAGTGAGTCCTGAAATGCAGAGTAAACTTGGTGTAACCCAGACACAGGAAAGTGATGCTGCAAATCATCCTGATACTCAAGCAATCAAACCCTGGCAGAAACATGAATTTAGTAAGGCCAGCCCTTGGTTCCACATTCAAATGAGTACAGGTAAGCCAGTTTTATTCAGATTCTCAACTTTGGAATTCCTTCAATTACCCTGAAGTTGGCCAAATCCATGCCTAGATTCAGCCTAACTCCCAAGCAATCAGACCAAGCCTAAAACTAATATGGCCTCGAACTTTCACAGTCAGATCTTGGTCTGATGTTATAGTTCAAGTAGCCATACCACAGAATTCACTAATCAAAAGAACACCCATGGAAGGTATTCAGTCTGAAAACCAACTAGAGAGATCCTGAACCCAATGTGAAGGTGGCATATTAGCATGAAGTGCTATCCATAAACCTAAAACTGTTAGAATTTGCATTCAGTCTGAAATAGTAATACCTGGCCCCTACAAAAACTGGTACAATAGCTTCAGTTACTTCTCCTAAATTAGAAGCAAATGGAGAAACCCTACTAATGAGCAATTTTGGCATCTTGCCAGTGCTAATTTGTATGCTTTACACAAGTAGAGCCACTTTCTCTCTGAATTGTTATTCTATAGCTTTGCTAACTCTACTTACCATGACATGAGATAGACGATGTAGATTTAAAAAAATTGTCTCTAGCCCAGCGAGCTCTTAAACATTCCATTTCTTACCCCTTTGAATGTCTAGATGTAGAAGTTGATCACCAGATCTTGGGGAAAAATTGAAATTTACCAAGACAAATGAGGCCTTGATGGCTTATCTGCTTCACTAAGTACACTTTCTTGCTGTCCTTTCTTATTTCCTGTTCTCTCCCATCTCCATACATATCATCCTATTCCTAGGTGCCCTTCCTTTCTTGTACACACTTTTCATTATAGATTTTCCTTTCTTGTGCTACATTGGAACCTCTCCCAAACCCATGACCCCTTCTCCACTTCTTGAGCATTCAAATTCTGATAAGTCTGCTGCAGGAAGTACCTTCCTTCAAATTTACTGAAGAGCCCATTCTCTCTTCCAACATTTTAGTACTGCAAGGCTCTCCAGCCACAGTAACATTAAAAGGACCCATGACTGGATCTCAGTTTGAACCCGAATCTCAGTATCAGCCTGGACAACAGACTCCCAACCATTCAGAACTCAAGATTTCTCTGGCTCAGTGTCACCTAGGTTTACTGTGGCAAGAGAATCTTCAGGCTCTCTGGCTTGTCAAAACACCTGTTATCACTCATGCTGCCACAGGTAGGTTTATTATTTTCATGTGTCTGAACTGATTACCCTGGATTACAGGTTCTTTTTGGAGGCAAATCTTAATTTCTGAATAAGGAAGATGTCATGTTTTCAGAAATGTAAGTCTAAAACTTGGGTCATAGTTTTATACAAGAATAGATTATAATTAATGGCATAGTACTTGTGAGATGAAAAGACACAAAACTGATTTTGTTTAGTCAGAGTGTATGTAGGAACTAAGTTTTTTCAGTGTAATTCCATCCAGAATTCAACACTTACTTCTTTAGAAGTGTCTTGTTATTTAGCTTGAGGAAATAAAAAGGCTTCATGTTATCAGTCAGGGAAAGTATGTAGAGAATTCGTTTCTCTACCTAAGGTTGTGAGAAGTTAGTTGCACATTTCCAAGCATACTGCTAAATTTCAAGGTGCTAGATTTTTAGATATTTTCCTAAAATGTGAAGGTCAAAGTAGAAAAGTTAGGGTGGTAGCAGAAACATTATCCTGCCTTTTGGTTCCTTTTTCAGAGTGTGGATTACGCCCAGGCTTTGTTCCTCGCTGTCCCAACTGCTGGAAGGCAGAAGTGGGTGAATTTCCCTGGATGGTTTCAATACAATTGTCTTTCTCCCATTTCTGTGCTGGCTCTATTCTGAATGAACACTGGATCCTTACCTCCGCTAGATGTGCCAATTTTGTGTAAGTATGAGTATATCATATCAAGATTAAGATATCATTAGAGACTGATGAAATGCATGACATTATTTATGGTTAGCTTTTGCTGAACAAAGAAAATGCATTTCCTTGTAGAAATTAGATTGGTTGTTGTTCCATATCTCTTATATTTCCTTATCTCATAGGAAAGTGTATCTCAAGCACCAGATAACAAAATTTTCTAGAATTTTGTCTAGAAGTCTACCATTTTCTGTTTTATTCAGTTCCTCTCATGTAGGTCCAAATTAGTATTTATCCATTTCTTGGGGAATAATCTCAATTTTCTAATCAGTACAATAGTAAAATAATCTCCTAGCTCATAAATTTTACCCTAAATTATGATGGAAATATGCTGAGTTGAAATCATCAGATACTCTTTGACTCATGGTATGTCTTTCATGTAATTTTACACTTCTTTTAGTTAATTGATAGTAAAGTAGGATAAAAATAACATGGATTTAGTAGGAACTATACATTTTGGGTGTTGATCACTAGAGTGAGATAAAATTTTAGAATTTCATGAGATATTGAATCATGTCAGTTGGGTGTAGATCCAACAGCCTTGAAGAAAATATCTATGCACCTATATTCTCTCTACATTGCACTTTGTGGGTGAGATTGTTGTTAAACTATGGTGCTCTGTAGAATAAGTGTTTTAAGTGTATTTTCAAACTATGACATTTTCAACTTCTGATAAATTGTCAGGATATAAACCCATCAAGATTAGCAAGGCTTCTGTCTTAGAATTTTTGCTTCATTTCTTACAGTGCAAGGTTGCTTGTATCTTTTTATTTTTTATTTCATTTCATTTTATTTCATTTCATTTTATTTATTTCATTTTATTTTAGGGAATAAATTCAAATCAAACAAAACAGATTGAAGCTAATCAGTATAGAAAAATTAATGTGATACAGGACTTTGAAACAAAAGAGGAAATGAACTCTATTTTCCTTGAAATTAGCTATCCATAGCATCAAACATAATAAAATTGAAACAAAACAGAACAAAACCAATCAAGACAAAATAACGAAAACATTACAGGACTTCAAATCAAGATAATAGGAAATCAACAAAGGCTACCATTATGCAATCCTTTACCTTCAAAATAGCTCACCATATCATCAGACACAAGAAAATCAAATGCAGAAGACAAAATAATGCCGACCCTAACAAAACTATTAAAAACAACATAGAAATTCAAAACAAGAAATTAACAATGGTTAACACCTTCCTTCTTTTAAATGTTTCTTCCCCTATCAATTTCATAATATCTGTTGTGCATTTTGCATCCCACCAAATCAAGTTTTCACAGTAGGAGACAACACAATATTTACCCATATGAGTCTTAACTATTTCACCCATGATTGTGATTTGGAATATTTAACTCAAACCAATTCTTTATTTGATGATTTGCACCAAGAACTCTGCCATGATTCTGATTGGTTTTCCTTTATATGTGATCTGTTTCTTCTCTTTCACAATATGTATGTGCTGTTCTTGTGTTCAATTTCTTGGATCTTATTTATTGTATGTCTGAGTATAGATTTACTTTGATATATCTAGCTGGAATTCTATATACTTCATTCATTTTATGTCACATCTTTTGCATGCTTGGAAAATTATATGCTATTATTTCTTTAAATAGTTTATGTAATTTGTGTTGACTCCTGTTCCTTCAATGACATCTATCACTCTTAAATTATTTTTCAAGTCATCTTGCAACCATCGATTTGTTATTTCCTGAGTCCTCGTTATTTCAATTATATTGTTTTACTTTATTTTCTGTACCAGAGTTCAAACTCATGACTTTGTTTTTGCCAGGCAGGTGCTTGTGACACTGAACTAAATCCAAGTCTGCCTCATTATTTTTAAGTTTAAATTTTTATTTTAAAGAGAATAAAACAAAACAGAAAAGAACAGAACAAGTGAAATGAGAACAAAACAATGCAAGCAGCATAGCACTTCACAACAAGACAAAGTACATCAACTGTAGCTACCATAATGTCTCTTGTTTTCTTCAAAATAAGTGAGTATCCTTTCACACACAATAACAGCAAACATAAGAAAATAGTGTGAAACTATTCAAAAGAATGAAAGGAATTCAAAAACAGGTAACAGGAAATGAACAATGGTTACTGTAATATCTCATTTTCCTCGAAATATTTGTCTATACCATCACACATAATAAAATCAAACACAAGATAGAACCAATCAAAACAGAATGGAAGCATGAAAAGACTTCAAAGCTGATAGGAAGTCAGCAGTAGCTACTACAATGTCATACTTTCTTCAGAATAGCTGTTCATACCCTTACATATAATAAAATCAAACAAACAGAATAAAAACAAGATTTTAAAGGAATAGAATAGGAAGACCAGATTATCATAATATATCCCATTACATTCAAAATAACTTCCCCTATCATCATACAGTAAAACCTGACAAAACAAGACAGAACAAATCAAACCTAACAAAACTGTGAAAACAATACGAGAATTAAAATCAGGACATTAGCAAATTAACAATAACTAATACCTTTCCCTCCCAGATGTTTCCTCCCCTATGACACGTACAATAACTTTTTTGCTTTTGGATCCCATTATCTCCTTCTGTTCCTTATCCTACAGTTCATGCAAATGACTTTGAATAGTTTCACCTTTAAACATGATTTCCAGTTGGTCCATTTACATATGGAAGCCTTGAGAATATTCTGCTTTATAGCTAGGTACCTTCCCACTGCATCAAAATACTATATCTTTCTTATCCATTCTGTGGTTGATAGGAAAATTGTTCTTGCTTTTTTTCTGCTCTCCTATCATTTGGCATAATTGTTTTCTCTCTTTGATTTTCAGTCTATGATTTTCCTGTCTAGTTAAATGTGTTTTTTTTTTATATACAGTACATTGATGGGTCTTGTTTCTTGATCAATTATCCCTGTGTTTCTTTTTATTGCTGACATGAAGCCATCTACATTAATGGTTACAATCAGCATATACTGGTTTGTCTCTGCCATGCTATCCTCCTGTCGTTAGCCTTCCGCTTTTCCCTTAATTCAATTGCCTGTCTTTTTTGGAAATCTTCCTATGCTGCTCTTTTGGGAACCATCTTTATTTGTCTCTAGAATATCCTTTAACTTTATCATGGAAGTATCATTTTTATATGAATTTTTAAATAGTTTTGTAGGGTAGATGAATCTGGATTGGAAATTGTTTTTTTTTTTAGAATTTGAAACACTTCACTCTATACTCTTCTTGAGTTTGCGGTTTGCATTGATAAGTCAGCTATGAGTCTGAATGGTTTTCCTTTAAAGATGATGTTTCTTTTCTTTAACAACCTTTAATATTCCCTTCTTTTGCTGAATTTCTGGAATCCTGATTATTATATGTCTGAGTGTAATTTTACTTTGGTTATGGATAGTTGGAGTCCTATATGCCTCATTAATCTGCATGCCAGATCCATTTTCCATGTTTGGAAAGTTTTCTACTATTATTTCTGTAAACTTTTAATTTCATATGTGTTGACCTCTACTTCTTCACCAATACTTGTCACTTTAAATTTATGCCTTTTTGTGTCAGCTTGTAGCCATTGGGTTATTTTCTGATTCCATGTTGTTTTTAAGAGACCTTTCCTTTCATGATCATTAGTTGCAATCCTACCTTCAAGGTGTCAAAGCCTATCTTCAGTCTTTTTCAAGCACATTTGCCAGACTTTGATTGATTTTTAAAAATTTCCTGGATCTGTCTTTGAATCTGTTTCCTGAATTGTAATTTCTTTTTATATTCATTCTAGATTTCCATTAATTTCCTATGCTCCTTTTTTGTCTATGTCTTTTTTGGACCTGCTGAACAATTCTTTCAGTATGTTTTTAATTTCTTCTTTTATGTGACAAATTATTTTTCACTTCACTACATTTACAATGTCATGAGGCTGTTTCTTGACTTTATTGGACATTTTAGGTATGTGACTTCCATTTTTCTTCCATGACTATATCTCCCAGACTTGTTCTGTTTGTGCTAAAGATCTGAGATTGTCTTTTGATGCTTTATCTTGTAATTTTCTTAGGTTCTTCCAAACAAGTTTATGTGGGGCCCCAGGCACTTTCCCATATTGGGTGCTCCTCCATGGTGAAAGGGGATGGAACAATACTTGGCTTTATCTAATCACAGATTTACAGGGAGGTAGCAAGGCATAAATAGGCTTCTTCAGACCTGTGAACCTACACTGGGACATCCTTGATGATCAGCGTCCATGGAGGCGGGGCTCTTTATCTCAGCCAGTGTGGCTACCCTGGTCCTCTTGTGATACTGGCAGACACACAGTCAGTTTATTTGTCTGATTCTGCTATATGGTGATGGCTACCTGAAGGAACCAAGGGCGTCCAATGGTGGCCTACACATGCACAAGTCTTACTTGGCTAAAGCGTTCCTGTTCCTCCTGACCACCTGCAGGAAGGAGACTTCTGATGGTAGCTCCCTGCAGGAAGAGGCAAGTCTACTGTCTCTCTCTCACTGTGCTGGCCACCACAGGAAAGGACATTCTGGTAGCAGTATGTCCACAGCAAGCAGAGGGAGATCTGTCTGGTTCCCTCTGCTAGTGTTGTGGGCCCATTGGAAAGGGCCTTCTTAGGTGGCACCTGTCAGGCAGAGGCAGAGCTGCTGGCTCTATCTGACTGTGCTGTGCAACCATAAGAAAGGCCCTTCTGGTGGTGGTACCCAGAAGGATCTGGATCTTAGTCTGTGCTCTATACCCAGAAGAAAAGGAATTCTGGTGGTGGTGCCCATTAGCCTGAGGTGGATCTGTCTTGCTCTCTCTGCCCATGCTGTGCAACCATAGGAAAGGGTTTCTGATGACAGTGTCTGGCAGTTAGAAGTGGGTCTTCTGGCTTTATATGCTCACTCTGTGTGTCCACACAATAGAGCCTTCTGATGGCAGCACCTGGAAGGCAGAGATGGATCTACTCAGAGGTCTGTCTCTTAAAATTCATT